GCCATACTTCCAAAAGAACTGTTGTACTCATTGTCTTGTGTCTCTGCTTCCTCAGTCCTTACTCACACCTGACAGCCATCTTTAAACTAGAGAACTCTTACTTCCTTAAGACATTAGTGAAATAACTGAGTTAGGTGCTGGGAATGCAAATGAAAACACACACACAGACACATACACACACATATACATATATACACAGTATCCCAGAACCCTTGTAGCATGTAGTCAAATGAAGAGACAGCAGTACTCAAATAATTACATAAATAACTAACTGCAGTGTGTACAATGGAAGAGAAGAGGATAACATGAAGGATCTAGTCATGGTTTAAAACATCTTGGAGAGCTAACTGTGCTATGGTTGGGGCATGGGAATGGGAGGGGGCTTTTGGGAAAGTGGGAACTACAGGAGGCAGGAGCCTTGATGCTGGAAGTAGTATAACATTAGGCTGCATTAGCACGAAGAAATGCTTGCAGAAAGGAAGATTGTGGGAGCAGGAAGAGAATGTCTTTATAGTATTTAACTTCAGATTTTATGTTTTAAAAATGGTGTAACTGTAGATAATTCCTGCTTCATAGGGGGATATGAGAGCCATTACTTGATCATTGGTGTTCTAGGAGTCCTAAGACTCGGTGTTTGGGAGTGAGAGTATAGTTCAGGTGCTTTTTATGTGCCGATGCCTCAGTTTGATTCCCACTACTGCAAACAACAGAAAAACAATGGGAGTGAAGGCCTACTGAATGTAGATGCTGGGTGGAGGAAGATAACCCCCAGTAAGTGTTCCTAAGTGAGAAGAAAAGCCAGGAGATACTGGGAAGCTTGTCTGAAGGAGGCAGTGGTAGAGTACCACTAAGAGATCAATGAAACTAAGAATTGACTAATCCACTAATAATGTGGTGGCCTATGCTTGCTTATGTTCAGCTCTTGGTAGGTTGAGGCAGAAGGAATCAGACAGAATTCAAGGCTAGCCTAGGTGACAGAGAAACCCTATCTATCCTAAACTCTTACCACCATCACCACTACCCCCAGAAAAGGAGAAGAAAAACAGAATTGAAAAACTTTCTGGTAGATTTTACAGCATGGTACTCTATTATATAATCAGGCCCATCTTCATAATCATCTGTTTTTTGCCTGATGGGGAAGGAAGGGTGTGGGTTACTTTAGATCCATCCCAAGCTTCTAGAGATCTGGCTGCATGAGCAACTATCTGCATGGTGTTATAAACAAGACCATTATAAGATAAACACTTTTGACAAGGCATTTATTACCAAATGCTTTGATATCAGAGAGACCCAGCTAGTTTCTTGGGTTTTTTTTTTTGTTGTTGTTGTTTTTTTCAAGCCTGTATTTCTTGTGCAGTGCTTGTCAGGTTTCTAAAAAAGTCTAGATCTTCAGAAACAGAGGTCTACAAGATGCCTATTGATTTTAAAGGTATGTTTAATGCTACTGAAAATGATAGAACCATGCTGTTTATTTTGCAAACCCTTGTTTGCAAAATAAACAGTCTAAAAATATCTACAAGAGTAATTTTTGAAGCTAAAATAAGATTGTCATCATCATTTTCAGGATAAAAATCTAGTACATGGGGCTGAGGTGTGTTTCAAGTGTTAGAATGCCTGACTATCAAGCCAAAGATCTGAGTTCAATCCCCAGCACTGCCAAAAAGAAAGCTTAGTAAATCTTGGAATGGGGATGTAGTTCAGGGGTAGAATGCTTGCCTATTATTTAAGAGGGTCTGGATTTGAATTCAAATACCAATTCTTCCCCCCCCCCCACACCAAGTGAGCACATGATTTGTGACCTAAACAGGCAGCACACAAGCCAAGTTTCCAGACAGATTTAAGAAGTTATTAGCTTTCACCTGAATTTAACATATTAAAAGCGCTAAAAGTTCTCTCTTAGGAATATCAATGTTAAAATACCAGAACACAAATACCTTTCAGAGTTATATAGGAAATGATTTTTAAAGTACTAAAGAGACATACTATAAGATATAGCTAAGAAACATTAACATTACTCACTTACACAGTATATTTAATATCTTTATCTTTTAAAGACAGATATATGGAAATATATATGTACATGCCATTTTCCTTTGGAGGATTTTAAAATATTTGTCTTGATTCATTGTACATTTTACTTATATATTGTATAATTAATAGATATATGGTATGAAATGGTTCAGAAGAAGAAATACCAAGTAAGCTTGGAGTCAGTGGTTAATGCCTGTAATCCTAACTACTCAGGAGGCTGAGGTCTAGGATTATAGTTCGAAGCCAGCCTAGGCAGAAAAGTCGGTGAGACTCTTATCTCCAATAAATGGAGAAAAAGCTGGAAGTGGCACTGTGGCTTAAATGGTAGAGTGCTAACCTTGAGTACAAAGACCTTCAGGGATAGTGCCCAGATCCTGAGTTCACAAACCCCAGGACTGGCCAAAATAAAAAAAAAAAAAAAAAGATTCCAAGTAACTTGAACAAGTAGTGAGTGGCCAAGCTAGATTCCTATCTCTTGCAATGTTGGTGCTTTTTTTAAATTTATTTTTTAAAAATTATTGTCAAGGTGTTGTATAGAGGGGTTACAGTTACATAAGGAAGGTAATGATTATATTTCTTATCTAACTTGTTACCCCTGTCAGTGCCTTTTACTGACAGAAATAATCTCTGGAAAATGTTGGGCTGGAATCTGAACTATATAGCAGTTTATAGGGAAGGAAAGAAAATATGTGTTCAAATGTATCCAGGGAGGCTCTCCAGTACCTCTTTTTTGTGCACACCTTCTCCAGTCTTAGTGATTAGATGTTCTTCACTGGCACATTCAGTGTACACTAAACTCCACTGTCTAGCATTTACCTGTCTTGTTAGGTGGAAAAAGCTAATAATCATGGTGTACTTACATAACTCACTTTAAATTCTTGTGTTTGTCTTTATTGCTTTGCTGGTAAATTGATTTTAAGCTTTAGCTGTTAGTTCACTTTAAAGAACAATTCAAAAGAAGGAAATTCTAGTGTGACAAGAACTTTGACAATTCCAGGGTTATCTCTACCAGAATCTACTTAAACTGTGTTGTTCCAGGAAAGATGCAGTTTGTTGTTGTTTGCTGATTGTGGGATCTGAACTCTGAACTCTGGGCTTGGGCACTGTCCCTCAGCTCTTCAACTCAAAGCTATGAGCTTAACCACTTGAGCTACTTCCAGCCTTTTCTGCTTATGTGGTACTGAGGAATCGAACCCAGGGCCTCATGCATGGAAGGCAAGCACTCTACCACTGAGCCACCTTCCCAGCCCCAGAAAGATGCGTTTTTTTAAAGGGCAGTTGCTCTACACTTGTGTGGCAGTCCCCTTGCTGTTGGACAGAGGACCCTGGGAGAAGAGTGGAGAGTTGTTCTTCCTTTCCCACTTTTTTTGTACACTCCAGTGAGCTTCATATACTGTGTGTTTACTTAGTATTTAATGAGTGTTTTACATTCAGTTCATTAGTATCCACCACCACACCAAGATATATAGAAGTACATATTATAGAACTATATTGAAGACAATCTTGGTTCATGAGTTAGTAACTTAATGTTCACCAATTTAATTTTCCTGTATTATCTATTAGGCTGTTTGAAGTATTTTTAAACCACTTTGAGTAACATTAATTTAGTAGCGGTCTGGGGTGCAGTGTTTGTTGAGACAGTTGCGGCACCACACTGAGAACTTGTAGGTAGCGCCTGATTTTAGCCTCCCCTCTGCCTCGGTCACAAAGGGCCATAGTCTCCACCGCGCTGTGCCGTCAGAGGACGGAATAGGCAGTGTCGGAGCCGTTGTCCAGTGCTGGCTGCGGCCCGGGCGACGCGCCCCGCACTGGATGTGGCCAGGGCCTTCTCATGGATTCAGGAAGCTCCTTCTACCAGGTAACCAACCCACTGCTTCCTCCCCTGCCAGGCTGACTCCCCGGTGCGAGGGGGCCGGCCTGCCCGCCCGCCCGCCCGCCCGCCCTCACGCTTTTCCGTGTCCGTCCTTCAGACCCCGCCCTGGTAAGTGTTGAGGTGTCCGCCACCAGACAGTCCTCACACAGGTGCTGGGCCTCAAAGTCAGGTTAGCGACGGCAACTTGGAACTGATTTTCAAGCTCCTTCCTCCCCCCACAGGTCAAGAAAACCCAGGTGGGAGGTGGCAGGCGGGCGCTGCGCGGGGCGCGGGCGGAGGCGGGCTTCGGGTCTGGGTGCAGGTGGAGTGGTGTGAAGGGTTGGGCTTTTTTTTTTGTTCCTAAAAATGCAACGAACAAAAAAAAAAGTACAACAATCCAAACCCAACCGTCTCCTGGCGCGTCGCCTCCTCGGGGCACTTCCTGCGCGGGGGATCCGGCGGAGACGCGGG